TTTTTTTTTTTTTTTTTTTTTTTTTTTGCTCTAATTTTCCTAATTTTATGAGAACTGTTTAAATTTTTTGACAAAAATTTAGGAAGAACATTTTTGCAAATTTTCATTGTAGAAAAATTTTTTGCGCTACAATGACGCCTTTGAAGCGGTTTAAATGGAAATTGTTGTTGTTTCAGAAACGAAGTAAAATTTCTTCACAAATCATCTTATTCATTATACTTTGTGCACCAATCTTTATTTTTATCTATAATTTTACCATTTCCAATTGTCAAGGATCGCTAAGCCAGGTTAGTGCTTTGGTTCAGTATTCTTTTTTGCTTTCTTCCTTTGTCGTTTTTGCTGTTGTTGTTGTTGCGTAATGTCACCGTCATTTGTATTTCCCAAACTTAGTTTAGGCTAAGTTTTCCTTCTGATCCTCTTCCGCCCTACTACCGCCCCTTAGCTGTTACTGTTCAGGCTCCTTAAATAAACTTTTGCAAAAGAAATTGCCAGCATATTTGGTTGTTCAGTCAACGTCAAAATGGGGCTATAAAAGTGAAGCAAAAAAGAGCAAAAAAAAGAAAGCCTCAGTAAAAAAAGAGTTATTTTTGTGCTGTTACGGAACAATAGATGAACGACAACTGTTGAGAAGCAAAATTTTGGATGAAAAAAGGTTGAGAATGTTGAATATAGTTAGAAAAAGAAATTTTTTATCATCTGATTAGTTTTTATTGGTGTAGAATAAACGACGATGAAGATTAGAAGGTTTAAAAAGATGAGGTATTTTTTTTTTTGAAGCAATTAAATTAAATTGATATAATTTTGGGTTGGTTAATAGAATAGTGGTTAAAAAAATAGAAATGCTGAAGATTTTTAACTTTTTTTTCTTTGTCTACACTTATTTTTTTTTAATAAACGTGTGCAAATATTATTTGACGAGGTGAGTGCAAAGTTAAAAACGTTGAATGGAACAATCATCCATTTGTTATTGGTTTTTTTACTGCTGCTTAGGATATTACTTATTTACTGAACTTTTTTTTTTGTTGTTTGGATAAATTGTGCGAAAAATCAACAAATTAAGGTTGAAGAAAAATAGAAAAAATTGGGAACAATTTTTTCTATTTTCTACCACTTTGCTTTTGAACAAAATGGATGAAAAAACACTGAAAAGGCTCAATTTTTCATATCATTTTTTATAAGTTATCGACGATTATCGGAAAGAATAAGCGAATTAACTTTAAACATTAAGTTCAATTGATGAATTTTTTGTTATCTTTAGAGAAAAAACAAAATTTATTGTCGAATACCACTTTCGTCTTTCATTTCTTGTTTTAAATATGCAAACAAAAGTATCAAAAATTTTTGCTCTGAAAAAAGAAAACAGAGCTTCTATTTTTACAAATTTTTTGGCGCCGTTAATGGTATCAAAACAAACGTTTGATTACTGGTATCTGATCTGTTCATAAAATGAACTGTCAGTACAT